GATAAAATAAAATTCCACACAAATTTTCACGTGATACTATGAATATGATAATAATTCGCCGTTAAACGGGATGCATTTCAGAGCTATCGTAAACATGTTTATATAAATATCATCGTTTGGTAATTAAACTTCCCACGGTAGAGCTCTTCGAAATTGTGAAATTCTGTTTGATTACTTGGGGATTGAATTTTACAACATTCGTGATATATCTATTAATACTTTACATTAATAGACATCTGGCGTGCGGATAATCTTTGTATTATACGTAAATCATCTCACATATATATATCGATGATAAAAGAAGGTATAATAACCAGTCTCGTCGCTATGTAAAAAAGCGGTGCACAGATGGTCGACGTCGTAAAATTCTTGGCTGGAAAACGCGCTTTTGATATATCACGCGCAAAATGCGCTTATTTGGAAAACTTCCTTAGCATCGTAATTTGCGGCTGTACATAAAACGTCAAGGGAGCTACGGCTAATTAATACGTGATGCGGAACAAATGTTTACAGTGTAATGAAGTCGGTAACGCGCGTGCCAGACACGCCTGGTTAACGTAGATTAGAATTTATCGTGTAATGCAGAAATATATGGGGTTACTCCGCGGTTGTGCGAATAAAATAACAAAAAAAACCTGACTGCATTAATCGACGAGATAAAAGAAAATCAGAACGCATAGTATTTTTTTTTAATTAAAAAGAGTTAATTAAATTTTTTTTAAATTAAATAGAGTTTCGATGACACACGGAAATTTGATTTTATAAATTTCGTTTTTAGTTACGCTATTATAATTTGGAATGATAATTTCGCCTCTTATTATATTCATCTTGTTAATAATAATTCAAGATATAAACGTGTTAAGCTGGGAAATAAATAACGCGAAGTCATTTTATCTGATTACTTATTCCTGTTTATCTGAAACATTATTTTAAAATAGTATAATGTTTATCCTTTTAGAGAGAATTTGATTTAGCTCGTTTAAGAAGCTTAAAGTTCAAGCATATGAGAGTGTTTATATATAAAGCTTTCGAATAGCTCTTAATTTGACGACCGATACCTTCAATATCAGTCATCATAAAGTTTGGTATACGTAAATATATTATTCGCGCAAATGTTTCAGAATTTCAGGATACGTATTCTCACTGAATGGAAAGCATCCAAAGTAAATGACATGGCATTATGTATTTAAGGAAACGTTGATCACATCGAAATGACGGTTAGATTGACATTCCAATAATAAATAAAGCAGCAATAAATTTCAAACAGGAACTTGAATAATGAATAACGTTTTAAATGACGCTGTCGATAAGGCAAAACGAATTCGGTATCGTATACCTAACGATCCGGGATGCAATCACAACGCCGTTTCCGCTTCCGGTAGTCAATCGTCGGTCGAGATCGAACCTTACGCATTTGCCCGTGTTCTATCCGGGACATTGACGAACACGCGTTCATTAACATGCGACGATACCCGCGCGCGTCCATCTAGTCACGTAGGTTTAACTGTCCGACGTGTCCGACCATACGTCGGCATTCACCACAACTTTCCCCTTAATACATTTGCTTAATTCATTATAGCTAATAACTCACGCGGGTAATATATGTATACCTAGGTATATAACTGATAGAAGCTTCTTACAATTAGATATTCAACGCGAAGTCTCTCTCAGATTCTATATCCATTTCTACATCCAGTAGAGACACTTTCATCAACATTCGTTAATTGTTAATTTCAAACGGTTACATATTCGCTCAGTCTGATAGGTGGATTAATTCAATAATTAATCTCATTAATTAATCGTTCCGTTACTAAAAACAATTATTCAAAATATATTAACAGCGGCGTCTCTCGAGGCAAGAATTTCTCGATTATTTATTTATCTATTCATTATTAATCTACACACGGTAATTGCGATAATTAGTTGATTTATTATTTAGATTCTATTATTATTTAGATTTCTAATTATTTCACATTTCTATTATTATTTAGATTTCTAATTATTTCACATACGAAAGACATACATTATTGTGTATCATCCAAATAAAGGCAAAGTAGCATTTATTAAAATTTATCGTGTGAATATATGCATATACGAGTACGTATAAACGTATAAAATTTAATGGAAATCTATGAAAGCTTACACTACTGATCTGTATTACATTGATTTTTTCAGAATTTGCATTAATTTTGAGCCCGGTTATGTGTATTGCACTTGTAAAAGGCTCCAGTCTAATGTTCTTCAGTCTTCAATATCGTTATTATTTTATGTAAAATGTAGTCTATACAGTCGAAACATTATTCATTGATTATTTGTATCTTCAATAAACATTGCACGCGATTTTTTTAAAAATAATTAAATGCCTTTTATTAGATTTGACAGTAGAAGCACTCGATGCGTTTCACATAAAAGCCGTCCACTCGAGCCTCTCTTTCAGCCTCATCTGGTATCCTAAATGCGAAATCCGAGATTAATCCGGTGGCGCTGACAAAATTCGCGGATTAAATCGCTCGGATTTGGTAAGCGAAAGGTGACGAGGAGATATGCGACTGGCGAGATTTAACGGACAGACGTCATATCGTGTCAAAAATGCGCGTGTCGATGCTGATACCCCGTTACATTCTGAGATTCGGAAACGACAGATTCAGATGTTTGAAAGAGAGAAAAATACAGACGGGACAGTATGACGGGATGGCTTCGTTTATATCTTACGATGCTGTCAGAACAATATACAGCTGCATTAAATGGTATTAGTTTACCTATAAAGTTATGAATTTAAAAGAATTAAATCACACGAGATGCTATTAAAGACAATTCTCGGCAAATTTTCGTGACTGTCAAAGGGATCCGAGCGGCCCGGAAAAGTAATTATAGAGTGTCGATATCATCGACTATAAATTGATATAAATTAATGATTGTTAACATAAATATTTGAATAATGCATTACTAATGTCATAACTTTTTTTATTATACAATTTATAAATAAGTGTGCAATATATATACTTACGTATATAAGACTATAATATCATGTATACAGATGTCTCAGGTCACCCACGCTATACCCATTTAAAAACGAGAGAAATGATTTTTATAAAAACTCCCAAAAATTTTAATAAATAAACAGAGTACGTTCTATCGAATAGTTATTTTCAATTTTTGGTTCCAAACGGAAATTGCGTATTCAGAACCCATAAAGCCAAACATAAAGCCAATAAAAAATATCGTGTTCCATTAAAAAAACCGACTTCCACTCTGAATAGCCCATTTCCGTTTGGAAACTACCACCATTCGATAGAGCTTCCTGAATTTATTTATCAAGATTTTTAAAATTTTTGATAAAAATCATTTCTTTGGTTTTTAAATGGGTGGCGTGGTCTGAGATACCCTATATATTGCCGCAAAAAAATTTTCTTCTACCATTATCATCTTTATGGATAATCAATCACGGATGATAATTATAAAAATGCAGTTTTTTAAATAAATTTAACTATTAGCAAGCTGTAAACGCACATGTCTAAAAAACATTAGTCTAATGAAATTATAAAATTAATATAATATTATTGGTTAATTGTTTAAAATTTTAACGGTCACGCTTACTCCCATAAGATTGTCAGTTTTTAATAGTATCTCATCGATGATTAAATATAGAATATCGTGTTTTGGAGACAGGCTGAAAAATTAATTGTAGCAAATTTCAAAAATAAGTATTGAATAACTGACTTGTTTTCCTTGTCTTTCCTTTCCTTTACTCATGATTATCATCGATAGAATTTGATATTTGTGAATAAATCTTTTAGATATGCAGGCTTTACAATAATCTAGTTTGAATCTATTTCGCCCGTCGCACCGTCACCGGCGTCATATCAGCGCGCAGCGTGAATAAATTAAGGTTTCTTTCAATCCTTTTATCGACAAACCATTGAATGGCTTGCTGCAACAATGGGCTAATCCGCAGCGTAGCCGAATGTATGATATTGGTAAAAATGGATGTATTTTCCAATCACTGTAACTTTAGAGTTCATTTCCTCCGTTTTTACATAATGCGGGTTAGTTCGCTGTTGCAGCAAACCCTTCAATTAAAATTAAAGCTTAGAACAGGAAACTATCGGCTCCTCTCAAAAGTTGATTCTTTAAATACGTACTTTAAATTAATAAAAGTTGCAGATCGATTTATAAAATTCACTCATTAGTTACGGATTAGAATTAAATAACGCGAGCGATACGCGTAAGCTTTGAAAATATGTTTATCTTAATTCTGGACGGTGAACTGAATTATTGTCGCCTGAATAAACGTTCCTATGTATTGGCTTAATCATTTAATGCTTAAGTAGCAATCAGTATTGTTTAACATAACAGAATCCGAAACACGCGCATGTGAATCATAATTTGGGTTAATTCGTATGCGCTCTTCTCATATTCAATCACCGGAAACATTACAAATTGACATTTACAGTTGCGATCAATTGTATGTGTAACATTAAAACGTTCTCCGTGCGAATATTTTACTTAGCCCCCGAAATTAACCTATTCGTTACCCCATCGTTCCACTACTGAGCATAAATTTTCGTTTTATTAAAGCGAATATGTCGCAAATGATTTATCTATCGATAATTGAACGCTTCAGCAACATGCAAATTTTCCACAGATTTATTCTCGACCTACTTTCTTAATTCGCAATTCATGCTGCTAATCGTGATTTATTTCGACTAATCGAATTTTCCAATAGGACTATAATTAAGAATAAACATATAAATAAATAAATGATATATAAATAGAAAACAGCAACAACGTACATAGTTAATAACAAAAATAAGCAAATATGTATAAATTGCACACACATTCCAGACAAACCTTCTATGTGTATGTATACATATCTATATAATCTTTGAACGCTTAGAGAGGATAGAGAAAATAAAAATTAGCTAATAAAAAGCGATTAAAACAAATTAATTTATTATAATCTTCTATATAAAATTAATAATAAATTGAGAATATTCTGCTATAGAGTAATTTTCTCTATTTTCAAGTTTAAGATTTTAATTAATGTATTATTCATTGCTACCAAGTCGCTCAATAATGCTATTCAATATAAAAGGCAGAATATGAAAAATTCAATATTCACAAAAAGCTCGTCTTTACAAGTTTTAACAAGTAACGAGTTAAAATCGAGGCTAAGACCACCTTCTGCTACATTCTCTTTATACCCTTCGAAGGCAATGGCCTTGAATAAGTAAATTAAATGTTTGATTGAATTTACTGCATAAATACCTAATCTACGAGCTTATTGTCCGCATTCATCGCAATAAGTTACGATATTACGACCTCAAATATGAGGGTTATTTGTAACTGAAGGAGTTACGGTAATTCCATCGCTAAGTTTAGAACCGATGCGGGCGAGAGTTAAGTATTTAAGACGCTGTTAAAGTTTCACAGACTTTCCCGTGGACTCACTGCCCGGGCTTTTTGAAGTGAGCAGCTGGAAGGAGCTCCGCTATATATAAAGCACGTTCAGGACACATACGCTCTCGCTCTCTTTCTCTCTCTTTCTTCTCTTCTTAGTCTGATATGCCTGGAAAATTCTTCTAAATATTTGATCGCGCGGTCCAGCCTGGATTTTACAGGCCGTACAATAATCCTCGTGGTATACGCCCTCAGCTAACTCAATTCCCCTCTTTCTCTCCTCGTGCTCTAATAACTCGACGAAAATTAAGCTTATTCTTGTTATCTCCGCTCTCAATCCGCGCACCACGGACTTCTTTCGCGCGCGCAGGATTAAATTTGTCTAATTCCAGTTGAGGACCGCATATTCTTTCTACCTAAGCAAAATAATTGTTGTTGACTTAATAAATTAAGGAAGAATACAACAGGAGTGCTGGCTTTTACTTTGTAGTGAAATAAATAATATTTTAAAGTAGTTCTCTTTAATATATTTGTTTTAATACATTGCTTTTATATTATTGGTTCAATATAGAACTGACTGGAATTTTTAATGAAATAAAAATTTAGCATCAGATATAAAGATTACATCAAAAATTTAAATGATTATTACCATATTTAATTGTGACATTATCAGACATCGAAATAACTTTCTTTTGGCATTCCATTTACTAAAATTCCATTAGTATGAGGTAATAAACCTGAAAATTATGTCGTTAATTTTTTTCATTTTTAAATTAAACAGATACAAAGTCATTTATTATCAATAATTATTTGTTGTGAAAACTTTTTTTATTGAGAGAGAGAGCGAGATCAAAAGTTCAATCTATCAAGTCTATTCTTTTAATGTCATGCGTAAATTTTCGAAGGATTGCCTCAACGAACAATTTATGAGTTCTGAAATATGTATGAGTTTTTTCGCTTCCGATGTCACAATCGACCATCACTGACTCGTTTAGAATATTAACGCGTGGCAAATTTTATTTTTGACATGATAAGATGATATTAAATAATACTCGCAATATTCTACCTTGTTTTGATATATTTTATATTATTGCACATATAAAAAATAAAATTAATATTATAATAGATGTAATATATGTACACATTATATTTAAAAATTATATATATACAAAATATATATAAAACGGGCCAACGTCGGTCCTATGTTGTCGTTCCGTACACATGATTATGAGAATTATACGAAGATATTTAAAATATACGCGATCAAGCAAATATCGCACGAGTTCTCTTTTCGTTCCAACCATTTCCTACATACAAAAGATGAAAAGTACGTATATATAGATATATACACATAATTACTGCGATATTTGCTTGATCGCGTATATTTCAAGTATCTTCGTATAATTCTCATAATCGTGTGTACAGAACGATAACGTAGGGCCCGACTGGCCCGTTTTCCTTGTTTTCCCCTGTCGGGTCGATCGCTTCCCTTTAGCGTGACTTTTCAACGTGTACCTGTTTACAATACATTATCTATGTCACCCTGCTATCACGTGCTTGTTTTATTCTATTTATTATCTACATGTACAATATTTGTAACAGAACTGATAGAATTAATAGAATAACCAAAGAGCACCAGTTACTGCTGTCACTGTTTATATAATGTCAACTATTTTTCAGTATAGTAATAATATTAATAATATTTATGGATTTCATTAAATGTTATTCTCGTGCCCTCTTTTTACAATTTTATCTCTCACATATCATGCACAGCGTTTCCCGTGCATGACACCTATTAATTTTAGTATTCCTACATCAAGCGTGCTCATCAAGATAAATACTAATGAAAATAGACAGGTTATCTAGAACAGAAAGATATATGTGCCGAAAAAGATATTTTGATATTACACTGCACGCCGAAAATATAAACGACTCCCACGAACAGACGCCCTTCCCCTCTCTCCCGCGGTTTATAACAGGCCTTAACTTCCAAGACGAGTAACATGCTACAACGCAGTCAACCGCAGCCATCTCGCGTAGAACGTTCGCAGCGGAAGGTAGTCAGAAGTCGGAGAGATCGCTCGTGATCGAAATCGTGATCGTGATAGAGTGCCCGACATTTTTTTTATTACATCGCGCGAATGTTGCTGTGAAAAAATTGCTGCTCGAAATTGTTATTCGTTTCTTGACGATCAAATTTTGTCACTTGTGAACACAGTGTTCAATAAAATTGTTAAATAATTGTACACCAATAAAGAACTCAATTGAGTTTGAAAAAGTTATTTATTTATAACGTTCAAGGGGTGCGGGAGTTTTCAGAAAATATTTTTTAATTGCAAAAATCGGCAAAATTATGATGATCTCGTTTGCATTAAGGTTAAACGAGTATTATCTGATAATATGTGCAATATTAACAAGTTCAGAGCATAGCTTAATCTTTAGATATATATAGAGTGTTATGGAAAAAAAATTTCATCGTATGTCTTCCTCAGATTTTGAAAGGCTATTTGCATCCTTGATAGTTAATAACGTTTACATAGTGACTCATTACGCCGTATTGTTTCCCCTTGGCGAAATATTTTATCAACGAAGTAGATAAGTACAGACGAACATTGCGCTGATACAACCCGACCTGGGGGCGACTTTTCAACTGTACAAATCCGCGGCAGTTGTTTCGCGAACGAAAAAAGTATTACGACTGCAGCCCGACTAACACGGCCGGTGGGAAAAAAAAAAGAAACAAGCTTTTGCACCGACCGAAAACCGTAAAATGCACCGTAAAGCGCGTTACTGCGGGCCATTTAGAAAGATCGATCGATCCCGTGAACACTTTCAGAATGATCGATGCACCGTCCCAGTATGCCGGTTCCTTTTTCCAAAATAGAAGACTGGAATCGTGCCTGTGCGGAGATAAATCACCGATTTTCTCCAGTAGTGTGTATTGAAAAATACGGGAATCATAAATTGTGGTAATCTTGATAATATACAAAGTTTCAGAAAGCAATATATTATTTATTATCGTGCGTATATCAAAAAAAATTTGCTTTTCTTTATACCTATACTTATCAATGGGAGATATCAACTTATATTCCGCCACGATTCGCCAAGTGATTTGACCGAATTAACCGATTCTTCATTAAAATGATCAGCGGCGTCGCGACTTAAGAATCACTAAAATACATCAATTATTATTAATAAGTGATGTATGATTTACATTATTTCTCTAATACGACAAATCGATATTCTTGACTGGCAGCCCTCTTAATACACGATAAAATACAATAGCCGTGTAATATGTTTTCGTTTTCATGTTTTCATTATCTCTTTAAAATCTGATATCTCATAAAAGAGATAAAAGTGCTTTAATGGGAGCTGGCTAATAGTGTTTCTCGAAAGGAAGAGAAAGAGGAAGGAGCAGAAACGAAACTCGTGAAACAAGACGATGAACCTTATATGTCGTATGATAGTCTACTATTTCCTGGCTATTTATTTAAAGGGTCTGCTGCAATCTTTGAAGTTGTACGCCGGCCACCCTCCGGACCTTGTAAAATGCAATGCTGAGTTTGACGTAAGTACATTTTCTTTTTTTCATTACATGTATATAATTTTTTAATCGGAACTATTTAAAAAATATCCGTTTGAAAATGTAGCAATGAACGTTACATCTCATTCCAATTTATTGTACAAACCGTACTGTAATAAATATCATATTTCTAACATATTAAAACACTTTTAGAATTTATATAACATTTACCTCTTATTTTTATTTCATTATAATTTAATTATGTAGTAGTTCGTATTTTTGAGATTTATAACAAATTTTAAAAATTCTATTAAATATTTTATCATAATATTTAATATAAAATGTTGATAATATTTTATATGGTCAAAAAAATATTTGTAGATTTTCTCTAAATGCAAAATAAAATAATGTTGCATATATTGCAAAAAAAAACAAACAATTAAACAAGTTCATCAATATAGTTTTCGCAGTCGAAAACTATCTATCGGTATATATAAAGGTGATGTACGACATTGATATCGCGGCCACTTTATGCTTTATGAATGCTTGCGTCCGTGATTATCGTACAGGATATCCTCGACAATTTTCGAGGTCTGGTTTCTCCATACCTCACCTGTGCCACCCGGTGGGGTCGGTCGGCCGGTCGGTGGGATACCCCTTGCGGGCAGCAATGTGCCGCGAACGGATCGCGGTGAGTCAGCAACGATAAATCGAGCGATTTATGAAGCGGCACGGCCAACGACCATTCTCGAGGAATAATGTCGGGATCGATCTACGACGTTGAGGCGGGCCGTCAGAATTTTCAGACGCCCATCAGCCCTTGTTAATTGTCTCGGACAAGAGTCGGGACGATTCTTTTATGTGGCATGACGATTAAATCAATTCCCGATCGTAATGTCGAATCACTTAGAGCACGAAGACGTTCGTAGTGGAATATTTTACACATGCAATCATATTTTTGTATCTGCTGAGCGAAATAATTTGCGAAAAGATTTGTGTAAAAATTCATATCGTGAATTTTATTATATAAAATTTTTTTTTACTTTTACATTCAATTTTTCATTAGATATTTGTTAATAAATTTACTTTTATTCAAATCACTATATAATTTTCACAACTTATAACAAGTTCAAAAATAGTTTATGCCAGATTTATAGATTGCTTAAAAATTAATTATTTATTAATAATTATTCTTTATAATACGACATCAATATTTTCCGCAGGCGAAAAATATGAGAACAAAGAACTTTTCAGGAACTTTATATGGATACACATATTTTCCCTGAGCTAAAATTAATTTCAAAATTGATAAAAAATTTATTATTAAATTCTGAGCTTATTCTGAGATACAATAAAGTATTAATTACATAAAAACATTTGTCCGACAGAGAGAAATTATATCGTAAAGTATCATAAAATCACAGATAGTTTTTCCAGCAAACGCATTTACTAAAGTGCTCAGCAAAGCCTGTTTACATTAATTATCTGCGGTACCTTTCACAATTTCCTTGATAACTTTTATCGGACAGGGCTAATTTAATCGATCACGCAAAAAGCTATACGGCTAATTAGTGTCGCACTTTTTACGCCCATTTTACGATCTAGATATACACCGTGGCCATTAGCGGTATTACAAGATCACATCACAGCTCGTTACGATAAATTACTGTACCATTACGCGAGGGAATGTGATTTGTAAATAATACTTTTACGCAAGAAATTATCGAGAACGACAATCTGTTGATTGCTTGTCCCTGAAGTTATACAATGTCGCATTTATTAATTTTGTTCCTGACAACCGACTAGCTTAAGTTTTTTTAACACATCATTAAATTTCAAAGATATCTTTGATTTGTTTTATCCATTGCGACGAATCTTTTTTGACTTGCTATACATGGATTATAATTGCTTACAATCGGCAAATTAAAAGTTAACTTATTCTTCAAGCGTGCCTATGCTTGTTTGCAGAATTGAATTAATTTTTATGTGTTGAAGATGGCCGAAATTCGCGAGGGAAATTTTATAATAAAGACCGAAACACATTGAAAAATTTTACGCACCAACCTCGGCGCTGGACTCGTATAATTGACTATCATTTTTACTTCTTATTGTCTTACTTGAAAAATCGTATATATACTTTTAATTGTTGCATTTGTTAATATTAGTAGTAAATTATAGAAGGTATTGAAAACCTAATACATGTACACAAACTTCATATCTTTGTTTTTTTTTTAAAGTGTCTAAAAGTATCTAAAAGAATCCAAAAGTATATTTTTTCTTGGTGCAAACTTGATTCGATGTCAGTTCCTTACGTCTTTTTAATTTCTAACAATCAGTATCTTGGTAATTAAGCATCACGCTAAAATTCCGTTCACGTTAAATACATTTGAAATTAAACGAAGAATAAGGATTTATTATCTCTATTTGCACTGATAAAAGTTACGTCACCGTGAAGGGTCCGTTTAATTTCAATCGCTTTAAAAAGAAAGTCCTGCAGTCTCGCCAGTTTCGCAAGAACTCTTTTTCCTCACTTAAGTATTCTTAATACAACGCCGGAGTTTATACGTGTAGTACGTTTCTTTTCAGCGCGCCATACATATGTAAGTACTTATTTCTGCAAATTATATTAAAAATTGCCAAGTTATCCCATCGAAAAAAATTTCCCGCGAGCTTCTGTATGTAAATCCCTTTAGAAATTATGCAAAGATTTCAATGGCGCGCGCCGTGAGCGCGCGCAATATTTTGATCCCACGTGTAATCACAGATCTCTACAGTTACAAATTTTCCTCCTCCTCCTTCCCTCCCC